AAGGAGAAATTACTTCTCTAGCTGTTGAGGAGTGCTAAAAGCTTCATACACATTAGCAGCAAAATCTTTCACTTGTTCCATCGTCAACAGATCCTAAGAAAGAAGGGAATATATTACAGATTGTAAAATATGTAGACAAACTGAATTCATGTCTGCAATCATGTACTGGATTGAGCTCCAAGTTTTAAGAACATTTGTCAATGCAAAAAGTAAAATCACTTCATGAAAAAAATATTTTTTCCATTAAAAATTCTAGGAGGCATTTATTAACCAGGTTTTTATATAAAGAATGGTTGAGTATTATTAGTAATTAAGCAAGAATGTTGTGAAAATAGAAGGCTAACTGAGCAAGACCTATATAAATGTTCAAAAGGAGAAGGGGTGGAATAAGGTGAAGGGGAAAATCACTAGGATGGCACAGATTGGGGGGGCGGCTGAAGGAACAGCAAAGATTCCTCTAGCGGGTTTTCAAAGGCAGTAAACTACATGGGAGGAGACGGCCCATCTTTCTCCTGTGGAGCAGCTGGTGGATTTGAACCACTTGTCTTTTGTTTGTCAGTGTAACTCCTTACCCACTAGGCCACGAGAGTTCTCTGTGCTATTAATAGTTATATTTTTTTAATTACTAAGCACTTTATTTCTCTACAGTTTTTGGTTTTCCTCATAATTTGAGGAACTAGATCATTAATCTTCTTCAAAGCACAACCTTATGTGTGCTGTTTACTGTACAACAGTAACACACCTAAATTCACCTTCCTCCTGCAATGTATCTGGACTCAAATGCAGCTAAGCATTGCTCGGCTTTGGTAGTGGATAGTATATTTGCAACCTCCTATATTTGCAATGACACATTAGTACTTTCATAAGGCATTCAACCACCTGTCCATGCAGATGTTTTTAAGAAACAGAGCAAATAACAGAGGAGAAAAAATGTAAATTTTTTGCGAGACAAACAGTGACAACCAAAAATACGATAGCTCTATGTTTTCTACTTACCTGAACAAAATGACTAGGCGTTTCACTGCACACTGAATGGATCTGTCCGTTTATTATCGGGATTATCTTGGCTAAAGGCAAGCTGACACTGGAG